CCATTGGATGACCTAAAATGAAATTCAAATCTCTACGTCCCACCATCCAATCGCCCATTGCCATATCACCTATCGACGTGGTATCATTGCACCAATAGTATATAAACCCTCCTCCTCATCCAGCATTTCTCATTTCCCTGTCACATGCGAAGAGCTGTGTAAAGACAATTTTCCTTCTTCCGGAGAGAATGTGTATAGCTATGGAAACTAGGGTTTGGAATGGCGTTTTGATGATTGCCGTCTCCCTTTTGGCGTTGTTCAATGTATCAGCATTTGCAGCAGAGGAAGGGGAGAAGGTGTTGACTTTAGACCATTCCAACTTCACGGATACTGTGTCCAAACACAATTTCATCGTCGTTGAATTCTATGCTCCTTGGTATGTATATAGATGCGTGTGATTTGTGTAATTGTGATTTTCATGTTTCTAAGTTTTTGCTTAATTATTATTTATGTGGAAAATGGAAAGTCTAGATCGTTCTTCACCCTATCTGAGCAAAATATGGGATTCAGTAATTTCGATCCATGTTAATGTTGGATTTTCTGCACTAGGATTTTTACATTTTGCATCACTAACTGTGTAGTGCTGATTTTTATTTATTTATTTATTTTCTTTCCCGTAGTTTGAATCTGTTGACTGTATCTCAATCTGAGTTTGCTCAAATTTGCGCTCACATATGTTTTTGGGTGTCTGTTTTTGTGTGGATTGAATTTTTCCAAATTTACGATTGATGATTATTTACATTTCTTTTTGATAAAAATTCTACATTAAAAACTGAGATTTTATTTATTTTTAATGGAAATTGGACGCAGTTACTAATTCATGAAAGCCTTTCCATTCTAGACTCTACTAGTCACTAGAATTTTTATGACATCCTTTCATTTGCTTCTCTTCGATGGAAGTTTGATTTCCCCATAATGCATCCGAATTTTTGGCCCATTTCTTCATCTGATGATCTTCCGAGTTTGGTAAAAGTTAAAATGTAGATTTTTAAGTTTTCTGTTAGCTCTATAATTAGTTCCATTTGGAATAATGTTAATTGTTTTCTAATTAGTTTTTTACTGTATGATACTTGTGATGCTGAATTTACTTACCAGAACTGATTGTACTAAGTTCCTCTGATCAATCATCTTTTCCTCCCTCCCTAGGTGTGGGCACTGTAAGGCACTTGCTCCAGAGGTAGAGTCTAATGTTTCTGCACTGTGATAGGGAGTTTTCACCATATTTTATTTTTCTTTTAACACTGTTGAGTACATTCCTGTTCCTATGTTATCTCTCTAATGACTTTTTATCCCTTTCTTCTTGACATCTCATTAGTACGAAAAAGCTGCATCAATACTGAGCAGCCATGACCCTCCAATAGTTCTGGCAAAATTTGACGCAAATGATGATGCAAACAGGGAACTAGCATCTCAATATGAGATTCAAGGTTTCCCCACTATTAAGATCTTAAGAAATGGAGGAAAGAACGTTCAGGAATACAAAGGTCCTCGTGAGGCTGATGGTATTGTTGATTACTTGAAGAAACAAGTTGGTCCTCCGTCTGCTGAAATCAAATCAGTGGAAGATGCTGCCAACCTTGGGGATGAGAAAAAGATTTATGTTGTAAGTAGATAACTTTCTTTTCCCCGTATTCTATCTCTGTTTCTCTTTTAATTACGTGTAGGACTAAAGACATGGATATATTCGTTTAGGTTGGGGTGTTTCAAAAATTCTCTGGGGAAGAATTTGAAAGTTTTATGACATTAGCAGAAAAGTTGCGGGCTGACTATGATTTTAGTCACACTCTTGATGCCAAGCTCCTCCCGCGGGGTGAATCTGTCAACAAGCCAACGCTTCGCTTGCTTAAGCCTTTTGATGAACTGTTTGTTGATTTCCATGTACTGCTTAACCTTTCCCTTTATATTTCCAGTCAAAGTTAGATTTTGGGAACTATTCTACTTTGTGGTTTTTTTGTCAGTAACATTGGCCTGTGATGATTATTTCAGGATTTTCAAGTTGATGCAATGGAGAAATTTATTGAAGAAGCCACCATTCCTCTTTTGACTATTTTTAACAGTGACCCAAGTAATCATCCATACGTGAACAAATTCTTTGAGAGTCCCAATGCTAAGGTAATTTAATTCTTTTTATCCAAGGCTCGACACTGCATAGTTATTATTATGGTTTACACTGGCGCGAAGTCTTTTCCAGTTTATGTATTTGAGCAGGACTACTTCAAATGAACCATTATATTTATCCTAGGCTAACCTCTGTATGATCTGCATTGAGGGAGTAATTTTATAAGCGCATCATCTTTAATAACTCTTATCTACTTCAAGCTTCTAATGTTCCTTTTTAGATCAAATACTGAGTATCAAGTTTTGAACTCTTTTAGTCGTCAAAAGAATTCTAGTCTAGATAGGATTTAGTTTTAAAGACAAGCGGACTGGATTGTCTTGATTATGCTCATGGAGAATGTGCAGCGGCATTAATTTGTGAACATTGTGATGTTATTGTATTATTTTTTAATGTTGAACTCTTTCTTTGAACAATTTTTTGTAGAGGTTTCCGCTATTTAATGTGGCCACTGCTAGAGTAATTATCTGTTTTCTTTTATTGGCAAGATTCTTTCACTTCTGTTTCGATTGTGTTCCAAATCATCAACAATCTTGTTCTCGGCAGAGTTCAGAAGAAGTTCACATTTATAGTTATAATTTTAGTTGTTATTGCTGTTGCTGCTTTGATTCACTTCTGTGACCTCATATGATATATCATCAGGGAACAAACTTTGTGCAGTTTTGATTTGTTAGTAGCAATGTGAACTTTTCAACATAAGTTCCAATTTCATTACTTTTGACTTTTGAGTGTCGGCTTAACAAGTAATTCCATTGTACAGGCCATGCTTTTTGTGAACTTCAGCAAGGAGCTAGGTGTTTTCCAGTCAAATTATAAGGATGTTGCTGTGCTATACAAAGGGAAGGGTATAAGCTTTCTGTTAGGGGATCTTGAAGCCAGTCAAGGTGCCTTCCAGGTTGTGACTTTTCCATATACGTCTTTATTCATTTGATTTCTATTTTGAACAGAACTGTTAATATTTGCATAAATGTTTCTGAATCTCGGCGGCAGTACTTTGGGCTTACAGAGGATCAGGCACCTCTTCTTTTAATACAAACAAGTGATGGTCAGAAATATCTCAAAGCTAACATAGAACCAGATCAGATTGCGCCATGGCTAAAAGATTACACTGTAATACTTCTTCTAGTTCTAGTTATAGATAGCGATTTCCTTTTCGGATATCTGTCAAGTAATTGCATATATTGGAATGACCTCTGTATATTTTTCTCTTCTCATTGAACATTTGTGTAAATAATTTCGTGCTTGTCTTAAAGTTGGCATGATTTGAAGTTTTGTGTTTCTTCAAATGGTTACAGGATGGCCAAGTGAAGCCATTCATAAGATCAGAGCCTATTCCTGAAGTTAACAATGAACCTGTCAAGGTGGTAGTTACTGACAGCCTTCAGGACATGGTTTTTAACTCCGGAAAGAATGGTTTGTACTAGAAGTTTTTAGTTTATATTAGTATCTAGATTTAGTTTATGTTGTCCTTAGTTTATTGTCCTCTGAACTCCTGATTGGATCTATACAAATCCAACTATTAATATTTATCTACTCTTATTTATGATGCAACCCAAATTTCATCCTTTTTCTTTTCTCACCATCTTTTTAGTGTGTGTTCATATTATCTTTACATTATGGACCTAGTTTCTCTTGCCAATGTGAATAATACTGTGGCTAAAATTTGAATCCCCCTATTGCTAACAAACACATACTTCTCCACTAATGCCTGTTATTTTAGGTCTGAAAGGTTTCTAAGTTCTAAGATCTATCCATAGACTAAGTTCTAAATTTAGGTTAATTTCAACCTTATCGTGTTGCAGTTCTGCTAGAGTTCTATGCACCTTGGTGTGGACATTGCAAGCAGTTGGCTCCGATCTTGGATGAAGTTGCCATCTCATTTGAAAATGATGCTGATGTCATGATTGCAAAACTGGTAAAGTTCTAGCTTGTTTCTTGATATAGGACTCCACAGGGATACCTTGTGATTTTACATGAGTCCAATGCATGATCTCTGATCCATGGATGATAATGTACAACTTTTCGACAATATCTTGAGAAAACTGGTTTCACCGATCATTTACTGGCTGACTGAGATCGTGTATTGTGATCTTGTTATCATCTTTTCTGATCTCATCTAAACTACATTATGAGAAATGATTTGCACTTTCTTAATCTTTTTTATTTGTTTCTCGTGTTCATTCTTAATCAGTGTCTTTAAGAAAATATATCTTAAACTAAATTTCTGGTACAATGTTCCAGGATGCAACGGCAAACGATGTCCCAGTTGACACCTTTGATGTTCAGGGGTACCCAACTCTGTACTTCAGATCTGCAAGGGGTAACTTGTTGTCTTATGATGGGGATCGAACAAAGGAGGACATCATCGACTTCATTCAGAAGAATCGAGATAAGTCTGCCCAAGCTGAATCGGCCAAACCAGAATCTACGAAATCTGAAGCAGTAAAAGAAGATCCCCCTAAGGATGAGCTATGATAAGGTAGACTTGCCTTTATTTTGACACGATACTCTTATATTCTTTCGGTTCCTTGTTGTTCACATTTTTTTTTCTTTCTTCTTTGCATGCAGGCTTTGCTTGAATGCTTCCCTTGGGAACTCCGATGAGCTTTCTTCATGGTGTAGCAAATTTTAGTGTTGCAAGCAAGTTTTTGCCTGTATGTTTGTGTATTTTGCAATTTGTTATCGAAATAAAAGGGGACAATTTTCGAGTGCTTGTGGTCGCATTAGGTTTCTGGTCTTGTCTAGGTATCATGATAGAACAGAACAAGTGGGTTCGAGTAATTCACATGGCATGAACCAAGTGAGGAGCTTTCTTTGTTATAATCCTTATCAGTTAAAAGAGAGCCAAAATATCCGATTGGCGACAACATATCACGATTAATAATGAAAACAAAATCTAAAATGGTTTTTTAAGTATCATAGCTGCTTACAAGAGATAGGAATCTGATAAGAAGTCATAAATGCCCACCTAAAAGGCTCACACCCAGATGAGATCTTGAACATATAATGGAAGAACTATAGATATGGAAAACATCTTTACAACGCATTCTAAGTCAGTCTTTTTAAGGTTACCTTGTCTACTTGGGAAGAACTAACTAACCTTGTAAAGGCATGTTTAGTACGTAGCATTGGATTAGTTACCTTACTAAACATGTCAGAATCTTATTGCTCGTGCACATCTCGACCAGCTTGGTGGTGCCTAGCATCCCTCGTCTTACCCCATTCATGAACTCTCAAGTGTAATTCAGCAGCAGCAATCAAGAAATGGACACCCTGTAGCGAAGTCAAAATGTCGAGAGTTTCTCTGAGAGTTTTCATCCTTAGTTCATCTGCTCTTTTCAAGACTTCCACCAAGCCTTCCTCCTTGGGTGCCAGGGTTGCTTCGACTTGTACGTTGTCTATCTCACCCGCGTCTAGATCGGCTTCTCCTCTCATTAGCTCGGATGCAGCATGGGACAGCTCGACCATGGACGAGTCTGCAATCGTCTCCTGAAACTTTGCCTGCTTCTCACTAATCTCCTTCTCTTCCCTTATGGTTTTCCTCTGTAAATCATCAACCTGGCTAAGTTGACTTGGTGAAAGATCTCCCAAGTCACCGGTACTGAGACCTCGTATCAACTCAGAAATTTGAGCCTCGAACTGTTGGCCCGACTTTGAGTACAACAAATGAAACGCCATACTCGGCCTCCAACCACCAATCCACAAGAAAGCATCCTCGAGAGTGCTCGTCCACGACGGATTGAACATGGTTAACACATTGTGTTTGGCCCACCTCGCTTTCGCATTGTAGTAATGTTGATAATGGTGCACGACACGGTGGAGTAGAGGATGCAAAACGCTCTCATCAAACTCTTCTTTGGCTCGATCATTCTCTAGCTGGTCCCGATCTTTAGAGGCAGAAACAAGTTGTTCGAGATGCTGGCTTTGCTCGGCAAGCCAGCACTCGAAGAACTTGTGGAAAGTCTCGCGCTCCTCCGCCCCATGCCTGATGACTTGTGCCATATACGCAACACTGTTAGGCAACAAAGCCATGGGGGAATCACTATTTTATACCAAACGATCAATTCTTTGGCAGATACAAATACCCTGAAAAACCACAAACACAAAACCAGCTTTTGTTGGATGGTATATATATAGGATGGGAATAGCCCTGTTTGATCCCATTAAAATTATAAATTTATTTTCTCTTTTTTCTTATCAACTAAACATTTTCTTATAAAATAACATTACACGTAATTCCAAAACTTTTCATCTTTTTTTAACAATATATTCTTTTTAGAAAACACACTATTTCAACCATTAAAATTTCAAATAATGAATGCCAAACATCCACAGTTCATTGTACCAGATGTTATTATCATCTGTGGAACCCGGTTTCAAGATTTTAATATACACAGTCTTGTATTGTATTGGCGGATTTGTATTACATAGTATGTACTAAAGATCTGTTGACAGTTTTTTTAGTAATTATTTGTCCGTCGGTTTCTTGAAGCTGGTCAAGAAATCACTCAAGTTGGCTGCGCTCTAATCCACCATCTTTTAACTTTTTTTTTAATAGAGAATATGATCCAAGGTGTAAAATGCTTATAAAATTTTTATCGTTTAACGTTAACAATCGATTATTTTAGTTTAGTAATTTAGCTTTAACGTTGCCTAGTGGATGGAAAAATCTCTAACAATGAGGATCAAACCAGTTGAAAACTCATTATTTTATATTTTAGGGTTTTCCCTAATTTGATTGAAGCCCTTTGGACATTTCAATATTATTTTAAACTTGTGTAAACATATTAAGTTATTTCAATAAAGTTCATTTACTTAGGGGCGATTTGACAATTGTGTCTACAAATATATAATTAAAATTAATTATTGATTTTTGACCTCAATTTTTTAACAACTTATTAAATTATCCCAAAGAAGCACCTAAAGTAATCAAGGAAATCATTTGATATTTATATATAAAAAAATTAATTAATCAAAATGTACTTATTTTCATGCCTAAAAATTTTATGTTGCTGAATTAACACGCAAGTTACGTTGATATGGATAGTTGTTGGCCCCACAATAGAATTTGTTGTTCCCTTATTTCCAACTCAACTTCAAGTGGTAGCTTTCTTTGTTTTCTTGTGACAAGGAGGCTATACTGTCCAAGACCGCCACTCTGTGCATTTTAGGCATTTTAGGCATACATACAGTGATACAACCAGTGACGTCAGTCCTCAGTCCTCAGCAACAGGCCTTTCACCTTTGGGCTCAATTCTTTAGAGGAAAATGCTGAATAACCCGGGGTTGAATCCCGGGTTCCGTTCTAGGGGCAGAGGTGGCAAAGCCTCTGTCCCAGATTTTGATGACGGGCCCCCCAAGTGCAAAAGATCAACGATCGAGGTGTTTCCACCTCGGCTTGGATTGGAGCCCCGAGATTTAAACCTGGGCTCTGTAGCACTGCTATTCTTTAGAATCCCCCAAAAAAGGGCCAAAACAAAAGCCCACTATTTTTATTTATTTATTTATTTTTTTTTTTAAATGGACAAACCTCTAGTCTCCACCTCCACCATGATGATTGACGAGCGAATCAAAGAATCTGTAAATTTCGATGGAGCCAATACAAGTTACTGCATATGCTCGCTGGGTGCTAACTCCATCGTTGCATAGGCTTACACTTCTATTTAAACAATGAAAGTATATAACAACAAAATATTGTTGGATATTTTGAGACTACCAAATTACAAATTTTGTTACATAATTTTCCCCTTAAATTATCTTAAATTCAACACTATTGCACGTGATGAGTCTTAGCTGATGCATGATGCAAATTTGACCATCAAATTAAATAGGGAAATTCTCTTGTTTTAACCCAATTTGCTAATATTCATTTGGTCTTAATTCAATAAATCTTTTTTTTTTTATTTCAATTATATCGTTCTTTTAGCTTCGTTGGTATATATCAAACAAGGCATAAGTTCAACAAAATTAAGATTGCTACGTAGATTATATATATAGACAAAATATTAGTCGTAATAAAATAAATAATTTTAAGTAAATTTTAAGAATAAGTAATTGTTGTATGGGTTTTCCTTAAGAGTTAAGGTATTGTTATATTTTTTTATTGTTGCTGACATTCATCTCTTCACTCATTTTTTTATTTACTTTATTTGTTTTTGGAACTTAAGCACTTCTTTGAATAAAATGATAAGAACTGAGGAGGATAAAGCAAAGTATGTGTCAACACAGAGATAAAGATAACTAATATTATATTTTAGAAAAATGAGATGTTATTTCGGTTGGAATCGAAGATGTATATGGACTCTTTCTCCTCTCACTTGCACGTTTTTTATTGATTATTTGCCCTTCAAGTTCTAGAATTTGATGGATAACATCATGTGATATCACATGCAGAAATCAATTCCGACGAATTTCGAAAATAATTCAGTCTGAACCCTGAATTGGAGTTGGCTCCAAATTTCATACAACCTGAAGGATTGATAGATGAATTTAATATTAAAAATCCCGAGCCCTGTTTGATTGTCATTATTTGGGAAAAATAATGTTATGAATAGTGATTTTTGGAGAATGTGTGATTAAAAAATAGAGAAAAATTTTGAGTTTACGTGCAGAATATTTTATTGTATGAATATGCAGTTAAAAGTGAGTGCGTAAAAAAAAAAAATTTTAATAATGGTTGTGAAATAGGGGTTGAGTTTCTAAAGCCAGCGAGGAATGTCAAATGGTAGATGTATTTAGTAGAGAGAGTCATTCCTAATTTCACTACAACAAAAATGATAATTAACAACCAAATTCTTTTTTTAAGAAAATAGGATTGGTTGTTAAATAGCGGTCTAAGAAATAAAAGAAATTGACATCGTTGTTGGACAAAAATGAATTCGTCCTACATAGAATTTGGCGCCAAATCACACGTACATTTTACAACAATATTTATGTTGTTCAAAAAATTGGGAAGATTTTTCATAGACGACGTCAAATTGTTGCCTCAAAATACGAATTGTATTTTTCAAAGTCAATTGTGTAATCTCTCTCAATTCTCAAGGACTTTTCATATAGCATTGAGAGATTTTCTTTAGTCATCGATCCGTTTTTTAGTTGTGAAATGACTTGTTTATGGGAGTTTGATGAGGGCATTTTGGTCATTTTATGATTTGATATTTTTCATCATTTTGTCAAAATTCATGATTAAATTTTCATTTTCAAAATTTATGAATATTTGTGCTTTCATCGTACTCTTCCAAGTATGTCATATTTCACATTGATAGGCCTACAATGAAGTTTCTAGTCAAGTTTAAAGTTCTGCACTTAGAGGAGCTCCACGACTGAGGCGTAAATATTTATTTTGGACGTGTTCCTTGTGGCTAACATGGTATCCAGGTAGATCATAATAATTTCTATTCGTAATATATGCTACAATTATAATTTCTAAACTACCTATTATTTATTATTTCAATAGAATCATTATCCTTCTCAACATACAAATTATAATTAACTCCTATTTTCCAAACAGTATACTCACATCTCTTTGCGAATATTTTACATAAAATATATTACTTTGTTTTACTCTATCAAGACCATATTTCAGAATGTATGTAGGATGATGACTGTTAAGAGGTACGATGGTTCTGTTTCACCGAATTTTTTTTAGCAGTAATGCTACTCAAATAGGGCTGGGGACAGGGAATTTAAACAGGGGTTGGCAGCTGAGCTCATCCTTTAGAAAACTTTCGGAATAAAGCCAATTATATAATGTACTTGCACAACTTGGTTGACAACAAACGTGTTGAAAAATCCTGGTAATTGATTTTAAAAATAATTTTTCAAATAGATGGATGTGATGTTTGAAAACTCATGCATTATAAACTAAGTTGTAAAATACATTGTACAAATAGCATGATTGAAACTTTCGTGGGTCCCATTTACCATACAGGTAGAGTGGCTCTACTAGGGAAAAAAAAATGTGAACATTGGTCCCTGACCCATGACATATGTAGCAAATTGGTACCAACCTTTAAAGCGGGACGTATAAAATCCTCAAGGCACGTTAAGCTATGTTTAGAGTAAAATGACTAAACATGTAATTTTATCAGGAAATAGATAAGAGGGGAAAATTTGGTTGAAACCATTCACTAGGACTACCAGTGCAGAGCAGTCGTACAGTTTTTCTCAAAGGATTTCGTTAAGTTTTTTATTGCGGCAAGGAAATCTGCACGCTTAACAAGCATTCCAACGGACGAGCACTTGCACCGCTCGTAGGGATCAGTTGGCTAACGAAGTCTGCAGTTCAGGTAGCTGCATTAGTCCAGAATACATTTACGGGAGGGCTAGACACTGAAAATTTAACTGTTATCAGTTTTTGAATGAATCAGACCAACATGCAGGGGTGGTGGCGCAGTTGGCTAGCGCGTAGGTCTCATAGCTTTCTGAGTAATCCTGAGGTCGAGAGTTCGAGCCTCTCTCACCCCATGTTCTTTTTTTACTTTTTTGGTCTTTTCTTTTATTGGTTTCCTGATTATTTCCATATTTTTGCTACAGTCTTAATTCCCGAAAGCCCTATCCAATTTTTATTCCATATACCATTGACTGGATCCGGCACAACATTCGACAAATTTGATTGTCACTTGTGTTCAAGAATTAGTTCGAGTTCAACTTAATAAACTCGTTTAATGTTAATGAAATGACACTTAGGGCATGTCCGAAAGCGCTTCTTTCGAAATTATAATGAGAAATTCATCCGTTATCTACAGAAAATGGGCCCACAATGTTGCAACATTTTTTGACTGCACTGTCCAGTCAATTAGAAATTTTAGTGAAAAAATCATGGTGTCCCTACATTTTTGAAATTCTGCACCATTACAAAGACGTTTTTGACATTTCAAATACTAGGTGAAAGACGGTTGCAATTTTTGTCCCCTTTTTTGCCAATTTCCTTGCAGATGTGAGGCCCATTTACCATCTATAATAGTCAAAATTTTCATTAAAATTTGACTAGAATAACTCCCAAACACACGCTTAAAATTTTAGGACCTTCATCTACATTGGAATATCCTTTAGTCGAGAGGATGAATTCATAGTATGATTATCCTCCTTATCTCAGGATCAAAAAGGACTTGGCCTGCTCTAACACCAACAGGCTTCGTCTAAACGAGTGACAATGGCAGTTTAACCGAAAACATGATACTGATGTATCCCATGAACTGTAAGGCAAAACCAATACCAAGAAATCTGAATATACAAAGAAGAAAAGTTGTGTTTTTGCTTGGATTCTAAGTTTCATCCTAGTAAGTTTATTATCCTTTTTCTGCAATTTAATTTCAAATAACGAAATCGAAGGTTTAATTACAAATCTGACATCTAAACACATACTAGGCTGTTTCCGAGACAAAAAATAATAATCCCCCCTCAATTCTTACATATAGCTTCTTACTCCAACAAAACTTCAGTGGCACGAACAATCCGTTAATAACAGCTCAAGCTTCGTAATATAATGTTGGGTGAAATTTCCTCGGGAATGCAATTTTAACACGAAGATTGCGAATGTGCTTTTTCAAAGGAGTCATACTGGCCTCTCTGAGTCTATCAGGAAATCATCAAATGTCGCGAGAGATTTTAGCTGTCGACTGAGAGAAGCAATTGTCTTTTGACACTCAGTGAATTTACTAGCAGCCACTGCCAGTTCTTTATCCTGCAGTCAATGCAAGCAATAGACACCATATGTGTTAAAAAATCAGCAAGTCAGATTCGAATAAAGCATATTTTTCACAATTTTATACCTAACTGATTAAGGAAATAAGTAAATCCCATAAAATTACTTTTACATTGGTTTTGAAATGAAAAAGTGAAAGTTGTTTTTTCAGAGTCATCTAGGATATGTGAGCTAAATTACACCTTAGTATTACTCAAATTTCCAACAAGTTTGTTGATTGAACTATATTAACTAAACATAACCGACAGCATGTTTTGCTAAACTTAAAAAGTATACTTATAAGCAAGCAAAATACTTTTTCTATAGGTCAAAATTAAAGAAGTGTAAGTTACTCATTTTGATGGTAAACTGTCAAATTATGGATGAATATATTTGAGACTTTCTGTCAAATATAAGACCACTGCCTTGCATACATACTAAACGACAATGAACTTAGACCAACAGAGTTTTTAGCAACTAACCTGATTGATTCTGAACTCTTCAATTCCAGCTGATCTCTGAAGCTGATAATCCAGTTTCATTCTCGAAATCTCGTTTTCTAATGTCTGACACCTCACAACAGCTTCCCCCGAAACACATTTTTCTCTTTTAATCTCTTCTTCTAAAGTACCAATGCTCGAATGCAAGGCTTCCAACTCAAGTTCCAGTGATTTGACATGTAACTCAACTTCTTGTTTCTTTATATTCCTAGTTTTAAGTTCGGACTCAATCACAAACTTTATGGTTCTGTTTCACCGAATTTTTTTTAGCAGTAATGCTACTCAAATAGGGCTGGGGACAGGGAATTTAAACAGGGGTTGGCAGCTGAGCTCATCCTTTAGAAAACTTTCGGAATAAAGCCAATTATATAATGTACTTGCACAACTTGGTTGACAACAAACGTGTTGAAAAATCCTGGTAATTGATTTTAAAAATAATTTTTCAAATAGATGGATGTGATGTTTGAAAACTCATGCATTATAAACTAAGTTGTAAAATACATTGTACAAATAGCATGATTGAAACTTTCGTGGGTCCCATTTACCATACAGGTAGAGTGGCTCTACTAGGGAAAAAAAAATGTGAACATTGGTCCCTGACCCATGACATATGTAGCAAATTGGTACCAACCTTTAAAGCGGGACGTATAAAATCCTCAAGGCACGTTAAGCTATGTTTAGAGTAAAATGACTAAACATGTAATTTTATCAGGAAATAGATAAGAGGGGAAAATTTGGTTGAAACCATTCACTAGGACTACCAGTGCAGAGCAGTCGTACAGTTTTTCTCAAAGGATTTCGTTAAGTTTTTTATTGCGGCAAGGAAATCTGCACGCTTAACAAGCATTCCAACGGACGAGCACTTGCACCGCTCGTAGGGATCAGTTGGCTAACGAAGTCTGCAGTTCAGGTAGCTGCATTAGTCCAGAATACATTTACGGGAGGGCTAGACACTGAAAATTTAACTGTTATCAGTTTTTGAATGAATCAGACCAACATGCAGGGGTGGTGGCGCAGTTGGCTAGCGCGTAGGTCTCATAGCTTTCTGAGTAATCCTGAGGTCGAGAGTTCGAGCCTCTCTCACCCCATGTTCTTTTTTTACTTTTTTGGTCTTTTCTTTTATTGGTTTCCTGATTATTTCCATATTTTTGCTACAGTCTTAATTCCCGAAAGCCCTATCCAATTTTTATTCCATATACCATTGACTGGATCCGGCACAACATTCGACAAATTTGATTGTCACTTGTGTTCAAGAATTAGTTCGAGTTCAACTTAATAAACTCGTTTAATGTTAATGAAATGACACTTAGGGCATGTCCGAAAGCGCTTCTTTCGAAATTATAATGAGAAATTCATCCGTTATCTACAGAAAATGGGCCCACAATGTTGCAACATTTTTTGACTGCACTGTCCAGTCAATTAGAAATTTTAGTGAAAAAATCATGGTGTCCCTACATTTTTGAAATTCTGCACCATTACAAAGACGTTTTTGACATTTCAAATACTAGGTGAAAGACGGTTGCAATTTTTGTCCCCTTTTTTGCCAATTTCCTTGCAGATGTGAGGCCCATTTACCATCTATAATAGTCAAAATTTTCATTAAAATTTGACTAGAATAACTCCCAAACACACGCTTAAAATTTTAGGACCTTCATCTACATTGGAATATCCTTTAGTCGAGAGGATGAATTCATAGTATGATTATCCTCCTTATCTCAGGATCAAAAAGGACTTGGCCTGCTCTAACACCAACAGGCTTCGTCTAAACGAGTGACAATGGCAGTTTAACCGAAAACATGATACTGATGTATCCCATGAACTGTAAGGCAAAACCAATACCAAGAAATCTGAATATACAAAGAAGAAAAGTTGTGTTTTTGCCTGGATTCTAAGTTTCATCCTATACAAAGAAGAAAAGTTGTGTTTTTGCTTGGATTCTAAGTTTCATCCTAGTAAGTTTATTATCCTTTTTCTGCAATTTAATTTCAAATAACGAAATCGAAGGTTTAATTACAAATCTGACATCTAAACACATACTAGGCTGTTTCCGAGACAAAAAATAATAATCCCCCCTCAATTCTTACATATAGCTTCTTACTCCAACAAAACTTCAGTGGCACGAACAATCCATTAATAACAGCTCAAGCTTCGTAATATAATGTTGGGTGAAATTTCCTCGGGAATGCAATTTTAACACGAAGATTGCGAATGTGCTTTTTCAAAGGAGTCATACTGGCCTCTCTGAGTCTATCAGGAAATCATCAAATGTCGCGAGAGATTTTAGCTGTCGACTGAGAGAAGCAATTGTCTTTTGACACTCAGTGAATTTACTAGCAGCCACTGCCAGTTCTTTATCCTGCAGTCAATGCAAGCAATAGACACCATATGTGTTAAAAAATCAGCAAGTCAGATTCGAATAAAGCATATTTTTCACAATTTTATACCTAACTGATTAAGGAAATAAGTAAATCCCATAAAATTACTTTTACATTGGTTTTGAAATGAAAAAGTGAAAGTTGTTTTTTCAGAGTCATCTAGGATATGTGAGCTAAATTACACCTTAGTATTACTCAAATTTCCAACAAGTTTGTTGATTGAACTATATTAACTAAACATAACCGACAGCATGTTTTGCTAAACTTAAAAAGTATACTTATAAGCAAGCAAAATACTTTTTCTATAGGTCAAAATTAAAGAAGTGTAAGTTACTCATTTTGATGGTAAACTGTCAAATTATGGATGAATATATTTGAGACTTTCTGTCAAATATAAGACCACTGCCTTGCATACATACTAAACGACAATGAACTTAGACCAACAGAGTTTTTAGCAACTAACCTGATTGATTCTGAACTCTTCAATTCCAGCTGATCTCTGAAGCTGATAATCCAGTTTCATTCTCGAAATCTCGTTTTCTAATGTCTGACACCTCACAACAGCTTCCCCCGAAACACATTTTTCTCTTTTAATCTCTTCTTCTAAAGTACCAATGCTCGAATGCAAGGCTTCCAACTCAAGTTCCAGTGATTTGACATGTAACTCAACTTCTTGTTTCTTTATATTCCTAGTTTTAAGTTCGGACTCAATCACAAACTTTTCCTCATTTGCAACTATTAACTGATTTTTAAGTTCGACCAGATTGACCTTGGCATCTTCTAAATTATTTGTCGATTTGGTAAGCTTTTCATTGGCAGCCTCGACTTCAAGCTCAGACAATCTCTTTGCTTCATTCACCATAGCAAGCTGAGTTTCCAGGTCCACCAATTTCAACTGTGTTTCCTTTAGTTGATCTTGGGAAGTCTTAAGCTGTTTTTGGCACTCCTTTAGAGCCATTTCCAAATTTATTTTCTCTGCTTCCACCCTCTCCAACTTTTCTTCAAGTTCAGCTGTCCGAGTAATCATGGTGTCCAGTTCAGCTTTTAAAGGTTGATCCCTACCCTCGGCTCCTGTTTCAGGGCCGCTTCCACTCTCCGTCTCAGGTAACGATGCAAACCTCTCCATTTCAAGAAAATCATCCATGAGATCAATCTCAACAGACGAAACCATATGATTTCTTCCCAGAGGCCTTTCATACTTAAATTTACCCATCTCTGCCACTATAACCCGAGACTCGGGCTTGTAAAACCCGCTGTCCACTGGTTTCAATCCATTAATCTTACAATTGTCATTTTCAATAACCAGTAGATTATCTACAATATCCGACTGACTATCTGCAAAAAATTCTACATGAACTGTGGAAGTAGAAGAATGAAGATCGTTTGCATGTGATGCTTTGCGAGCCAATGCCTTTAGCATGCGACACTCTGCCTCAAGCTTCGCTGTCTTTTTTATGCTGTCAAGATGCTGTTTACTAGCAGATTCTGCGGCACGGGTGCTCAAGTCCCTCTCGCAGGTCATCAGTTTCAGTTCTTCAGATTGAGAGTGGAGTTCTCGCTTCAGGATTGCGTTCTCTTTCTCCATGGTTTCAAGCTTAATGACATCTGTTTTAGCACTTTGAAGTTGAGAACGGAGTTCGATAAGCTGGTTTTCAAGTTCTGATTTCGTCGATTCCCATTCACAACTTTTCTGCGCAACAGCATCATAAAGCTTTTGTTCTTGCTCTTCTCTTGCCTGTCGAAGTTGTCTCAAACACTCTTTAAGGGCTCCATCAAGTTGTCTAACACGTTCTTCAAGGACCGAGTTTTTCTGAGTTACGGCCTCAGTTTGTTTCTTCAGAACTAGCACTTCATTTTCAGCTCTCTCCCATCCTAGTATTTAAGTTCAAATGATTATCTAACTTGCATAAATAATGAATAGCCTAATTCGGAAAAAATGACATTTTCATCTGCAAAAGGCTCCTGAAATGCATCGTGGTAGATAAAAACTGGTATTCTTTATTCTTTATAGAAAAATTTTTCCCCTTAGTCTTACTGCAGAATTATTAGTGTCTAATCTTTCCCTGACATCATTAACTCATTCCCAACCATATTAGGAAATTATAAAATTCAAACTCTAATAGAAGTAAAGGGAAGGAAATTGTTTTTCTTATTGTTTTCCTGGCCAATGACAACGTACGAAAATACAGTCTGCTTAATGATTCAAAGGAATATTTTATCTCTTCCATTAATGCAGGAGAAAAAGATTAAGTTGGCTAATTTGGCACTATCCTATAACCACCACAGCAACTACAAGGCAAAAAAGCATATTTATATGTTGAGTTCAACAATGAAAGAAAGCAAACAGAAACATAGAAATAGATGTGTTCCCGGGGGAGAAAAATATACTTGGTTAAATAAATAATCTCTGTACATAATATAATTCACCAAGAACATAGACAAACCTTATTCACCCAAGGGGAAAATATACAATGAGAAAACTACACTAATTAGTTGATGGTAATGTATCCCTTTGAGGATGGAAAAAACTCTTCAATATAATTCTAAACATATAGGATCACAATTCACTAGTATAAACTTGTTGAGAATAATTAGAAGTTTTATTGACAAACTCTCTTCCACATATGGTTCAACACACTTGCCAATGCACAAACACACACAAAGAGAGTGAATGAATACCCGAGACAGCTTCCTCCGCGACTTTGGCATGCTGCTTTACCAAGTCTTCCTTCGCACGAATGTTTACAAGAGCTTCTGATAATTTCTCTGATAAAGTCTTCACACTTTCATTAAGTTCTTCATCGCTAGGTACAGCTTTTGATATGACTTCTGGTGAGTGAGTGTTATGATTTGATGAGGCCTTTTACAACACCAAATATCATCAATTGTCAAAATTCCTCATCTCTTCTCCCAATAATCACATTTTTTGAAACTTCTAAAAATTTAATTTTTTTTTTTTTTTTTTGGCTGGGAGCCTTTGAAGAGAGGGAGAGCAAGTTATGAAATAAGAATGCAAATAATACACCTCACGTCATGCATAAACGAATGTGCTCACATGAGCCATGTGTGTGTGTGAAAGAGAGAGAGTAGATAAATTTAAAGTAATGAATTCATTTCATGATGAGAAGCAATTGAGATGAAGGCCATATTTATAGTTCAACGTCGATCTAGTCAAGTAAAATTGGCTTCAAATACGGAATGTGTCATCCCTAGACGGACCAAAAATCCTACCTGCAAGTTACTTAAAAATTCTTCACTCTTTTTCAGTCTCTACTTTGTATGCATTATTTCACTAGTTCAATGTAGTATTCTTAACATATTTATTTCAACTTGCTGGTTGCAGGTTGGTTTCTAGCTCAAACAGTAGGAGTGGAGATTCCAAGAAATTCTACCATTCAGATCATTGGAGGCTTATGCACATGACTTATTAGTAAAGCTTTTTCATCAAGTCTTTGCACTCAAGAACAAAAATAATTCGAGTAAAATATAACCAATAATTAAAATTTCATTTTTAGAATAACTAAACATGATGACAACTAGTAACTTGATAATGGACCCCCACTTTGAAATTTTGGTTCTATTTGACTGAAAAAAAAAACTTTTGCATTCATACAAAGGCGCCCTTACAGACACATATCCTTCACACTCTGGTGATCAGCAGAATAAGATTAGAACCTCACAATGTGTTAATAATTGAAGGCAGATGTCAATGATGGTAGCTGGACAGGATGGTTCCCAAAGAAATAAAGCAAGAGGTTGTCAGTAGTGGTCCAAATGAAGTGGGCAACTAGACAGAGTGGTCCATTTTAATCCAACGATGAGCCACTATGCAAGTAAGTAGCATACTGAAGGAGAACACGTGTTTCTCCAAAATTGCAACTTATGAAAGGGTAATCTGGACATTTTCGGCACCTTAAGTTGGTGGACGTTACGTGGCAGCTCCTGATTTGTTCATTCCATATAACTTGGATCTGTGTTTCTTTTGGCCATGTGTGGAACGTTTGATTGAATGAACGGTAGAGATCAAAATATGGCTGGCTCCTAGTTTCTAGTGAATACGGCTGGAAGGGTTAAATTTTTGAGGCCGGCCTTTGAATATCTCTCGTTTTCTCTCTCTATTTTGGGAGACTTTCTTCTTCCTCCTTCTTGGCACTTAGAACTGGAGATTATTATTCTTTTGTAAGATTCTTGTAAATCTCGTGTGCTACAGTAACTAGGAGACAATTTGTGTAGGCGATCTGTTGTACTTGTGTAGTTGTGGCCGGTTTGTGAGGAAGCAATGTGTTGTGTCCAGATTTGAGATCCGTTTGGATCGATGATTGATCTGGTTGTGCTCTTTGGTTCTGTGTACTGTACTCTCTCTGGTAGATTGCACTAGTGGAGTGGGCTGACTCTGAGCCCCCCAGATTAAGCTATTCGGGCCGAACTGGGTGAACATTTTTCTGTGTTCCTTTATTTTCTTCCACTTTGCGTTTGTGTTGGTAGTGTTGCTCTCGGTTTAGGGTAAAAATTCCCTACACATACCTACCATCAATCTAGATTACATGACTTTCAATGCGAACAAGATTCACGAGCATAATAATTTTATTATTCGGAACTCAAATTCCAACTATGAATGCAACAACAAAAGGCATGTTGCATAAAGGATTAGATGCTAGGCAGTATTAAGGAAGGAAAAAAAGAAGCTAAAATCTTGTCCTTTGTTCTGTCTAGTGGGAGCTCTTGGTCCTCAAACAAATTTCATGTACTCACTCAAGCCTCGTCATTGGCTGGAAGCCCTCCACCCCATTTTAATAAATTTATACATAACCATAGGCACTTGTTTTGTTACAAGATCAATTTCCAGAATTTCTTATTTGTTGATGTTCTTCCCTTTTGGCTCCCAAGAGAAAGGGAATGCAGCGAAATCTTGTTGCTTCAAGTTCCCAAAATTTGAATAAACACAATTTGGACAATAGTAGGACTATATTTTAAGTGTGCAAGTTTCAGATTTTTCTCTACTCAAGGTCCAAGGAAAAGCCATAAATTCGATTTTGGGAAAATGTTTAGTACGAGCATGATCAGTTTGGGATTAGTCTTAATATTTCTTAATGTAATATTCCACATGTAAACTGCAAACTTTAAACTGATCCTTCCATAGAATTTTCTTGAAAAGGGATTGTTGCCAGATAAACATAACCATCGACAACTAGATATACAAAAATAAACCTCAGAAAACACAAACATGCATATAAAACTGGAAAAATAAGCTCAATCTCAGTATTCAATTAAGTATGCATTTTTTAACATAGTACTCCCTTTGTTCTATAAAGATAAGCATTTTTTTTTTTTTAATATTTCCATACAGATTAAGAAAATGTAATAAATATATTTGAAAATATAATTTTTCTTACTTTTTTTATAATATACCCGGTCTACACTAAATAATGGGTTACATAAGAGCACTTCACATTTGTTGATAATAAGATACATTAAATAGGGATATCTTAGAAAACTAAGAAATCGGCTCCCATTTGGCCTCCTTTTTCTTGAAATTTTAATGTTTGAAATAGGTCTTTTTTCGGAGAATGTGTGTTTGAAAAGGAAGAATTTTTTTGATTTACGTGTAATATTATTTCATGAGAGAATGGTTGAAAATAAGAGGGAAAATAATTTGAAAGAGACAGGGGGCCAAATAGGAGCTCAATTATATTTCCGACAGGAAAAGTAGTCTATAATTTGGAACAGATAAAAAACAAAGTAAATCTATTTTTATGGTACGGACAGAGTAAATATAACATATATGTTGAAGAATTATTAAGACTTTCAATTACAAGATGGCAATTAGTGGAAGTATTTACAAGATCAAGCTGAAACAAACAAACCTGATCATCAGAAAATCTTTCTGAATGTGATGATATTGATCCTGAGCTTTCTGTTTCACCATTGGGACTTTTCTCGGACGACTTCCGGCGCCACAGCCAACTCCTCCGGTCCATCTAGTGGACACGCCGATAATCATACATTTCTTACGCACACTTCATCTGTATTTTCAACCTCAATTCAGCAACCTTAATTACATCAAATATCAATGGATATTAGGAATGCACAAAAGCCTAAACACACAATCACAACTCAACATAGGTTTTGAACAACCCATCTAATATGCTGTAATTTACTCTCAAATCAACATATAAATCAAACCCACTAGAAACCCAATTCAATTCAAATTTCAAGAAAAGAGTCCCAAATTTTATTTTATTTTTTTGCTCAACAAGATCAACTATCAATTAAAGACAACGGGAAGGGGAAGGGGATAATTTCTGGTGAAGAATCAATCCTTGCTTAGAATTCAATCCTCTACCAACCAATTTTCAAGAAACAGTTGGAACCCTTTGAAGTCCCCCAATGGAATCCCATAGTGTAAAATGAAAGCGAATCAATTTCGGAAATGAGAAAACTTCACAACTAATCTGATGGGCACCTTTCAATTCCCCATAACTATCAGACAGAGACTAGAAAGAGGGACAGAGAAAGAGGAGGGCATATTTTATCCGTGAAATTTAGAATTATACACTGGCATTAATAAAAGTTGAAAAATATCTCAGCAAAAGCCTGAAAAACAATCATGACCTACTTGTGAGTTGTGACCTATCTTCCGAAACACAGAAACCCACAAAAAAAATGAAACCCTGCAAAAGGAGCCATCACTATTGAAAAGCACCTTTCGCTCACGTGCACAGTAGCAGCATCATACAAGTACGATACAGTCTGTTTTGTCGCGTTTAAGCCGTAATTATTACCACCGAGCGTCTTTTAAGCAAGATCTTAAACCGGAAATAAACCTGCAAATGTCCGGAAATGCAATAATTGCCAGCAGAATTGCAGAAAACAGAGGGAATAGACGCAGAGGAATAATAATCATTATATATATATGACTTGAAGAAGAAAAGAGTAGAATTCAACAGTTTTGTTCTGAGATACAACTATAAATTATTGGTGAGCAATTGCATTATTATATTATATAGACTAATTGTCTTCATTCATCTTTGATGAGGTGGGGAGGCGTGCCTAGTGAAGACAAAGACAGACACAAAAAACATTTGTCGAATTATTTGGTTTTTTTCAAACCAAGATTGCGATATTCGCGCGCCTAATATGCGGTGAATTTGCGAACAAAACTGGGAGCGACTTCCAAGAACACATGCTAAAATGAATTAAACCTCTTCACATTTTAATAATCTCTTCTTCCAAGTTTGATACGGAGTGCTACTTGGAATTAAAAGATAGTTAATACCAAGTTCATAAAAGTTGAATTAAAATGTATAATTAAAAATTTTATAAAAATTGTGAGTTTCATGAATATATCCTATTAGTTTTGTTGGTCGACTCATATATGCTTGTGATGTCGAGCTCACCTGTGGTTGATTACTAGATTTGCTTATGTGGAAGAGGCAATTGATAATTAGATACTCCAATCATAGCCCTCGTTTGGTAGCAACTTCAAAAATTAATTTTTTGACCATTATTTCACGATTTCAACTGTCATTTTGACTTCTTCAATCACATGTAAGACCCATTTTTCTCTCTAACGATCAAAAAATTAATTTTTATAATCGCTACCGAACAGGCCCATAATACAGAATAAGGTTATGGTCCTAGCTCGAATCTCTTATTTTTAATATTGGGATAAAATGGTGTTATTAAACAAGTTTTAATAACGAATTTTTAGTCAATTTTGAGCGGCTTTTTAAATTGGTTCCATGTCTAATTAATGCCGTTTGTTAAGTTGTAATTAATCATTTCGGTTGAGAGATTACATCAATATAACAAGAAGTTTTTAAATGGAGATATGTGTAAATGAAAATAAATTTTCAATGTGACTAAGTTACCTTCTCATTTTTATTGCGTCTTCCAATATGTGGGAATAAATCCCCCTTGGTAAAATAAGATGTTACCTTCTCATTTTTAATTTAGAAATTTATTTTATTAGTCCTTTTAAGTTACAATACTATTGAATTTAATGTTTTAATTTGAATTAGTCTAGGTAGTTAGATGATCATGTCCATGTATTTTTAATTATTGGCATCATATGTTAGTGGATTATTATAAAGAGTGTACTTGATTCCTCTATTAAAGAGGCAAAATCAATGAATAATATGTCAAATGAATTATTTTACATTGCATTGAGAGGTTATCCTCAATTATCAATTATTTTGGACGTTCGAGTTTCTTCGAATTAATCTATATTTCTTATATACTTTTTTATTTTTATTTTTTTAAGATGAATTAATCTATCTATAATCAGTGGAAGGTTTGGTGAAAGAGGTGAAACTATATCTACCTGTCAAATAGAATTTTGTTGTGTCAAGATGAATTTCAATATAAGATAAATGAGTTCTTTGAGTAGTTAAATGCAAAGTTACAATATTTTATCCAACGATCGAGATATTAAAGTAACTTTTTAAGAGTAATATTATTCCGTCTCACGGATATGAAAGAAATTTTTGTTAATGAAAAACTCTTATTCCAAATAAATTTTTATTTGGCAGTTTTTTGGATGTTAAATACTATTGGATGGGTTACTTTTTATTGGCATTGGAAGCACATCACATTATGGCAGGGTAACGTTTCACAGTTTAATGAATCTTCCACTTACTTGATGGGTTGGCTAAGAGATTATTTATGGTTAAACTCTTCACAACTTATCAATGGATATTTTTTTACTTAACTTAAGAGAAGAAAAAGCCTTCTTTTTTTCATTGTACAATGAACGATTAAAAAAAAATCATAGGATTTTTTCTTTTTTTTTATTCATCAAAACTATCTATAAAAAGAATTAGATAGAATAACTTCGACCTTGTCAACTGATAGTGAAAGAACAAAATCGTGCCCAATTTGAATGGATCTCAGTTGATTCCTCGTTACTGCTCAAAGGAGTAGTAATAGGTAGGGATGACAGGATTTGAACCCGTGACATTTTGTAAACGACCCTGCATCTTTTTTATCTCCCGCATTTTTAGCTAGAATATTTCACATTCTCGATCATCTTCTTTCTTTTTTGATTACCTTCCTCGCGTATGTATAAGACCGAATCCATTCGATTTCTAAAAAAGATTACTGAAATGTGTGATTAATATATGGATAATAGTAGTGAACACGACTTTGATTGAATTGAAAAAAGTAACTTCTAATATTCGAAGCGAAGGAAGGACTGGGAACAGGGCTACCAAAGAGGAATGATGCACCCGTAGTGATATAGACAGAATGCACATTCAAGGGTTAAAGAGCGGATCTTTGTTATAGTAAAAAATGGATTTTCAGTCCATTCTGGGGTACCTAGGTGGTGAAGCAGAGGGAGATAGGCAGCCCTCGCCCCGGGGGCTCGTGTAGGCTGAATATTGTTAGACAGTGTTCAGCTATAGTGAGCCCTCTCTAGAAGGGCTCTTAAGAGCTCTCCGTTCTGCCATAAGTACCTCCATATTCTGCTGAGTACGATTCGACAATGGGTTTGAGTCAGTGATTGGAAAACTACCACTCTCGTTCAATTGGCATTATAACACTTTATATTTCAAAATCAAGGCTACCATTGAACGTAGCCAAAATAGTGAAGTGTCATCTGTCGTGCAAGTTTCAAATTTAAAACACAAAGAATAAAGTTGAACCAATGTCTTTGAATCTAATTATAAATTGAAAGTATTTTTTTTTTATATGCAATTATTTTAAAACCACCCTCAACGACAAGGGCGTTTTCAAGGCGGAGGAAGATAACCTTCCCATTTTTAATCTTAGAAATTTATTTTTATTAGTCTTTTCATTTTACAATTACATTGTATCCAGTGTTTTAATTTGTTAATTCTAGTAGTAAGATAGATGATCGCAGGGGCAGGAGAGAGGATTTTTTTTTTTTTTTAAATAAAAAATTTTTTAGTCGATTTTTTTTTAATCAGTCCTGCCCTCTCTGACTCCGTGCTTGGATGCTCGTGTCCATGTATTTTGTTAATTGTCAGGCATTATTGGTCAGTGGACTATTGTTATTGGAATCATAGAGGCCAAATCAATGAAGAATAATGAATTATTTTCCAATTGTTTAAAAAAAAAAAAGGTTGAACTTTAATCTTGAAGGCCCCTACCGCCCGGTCTTAGAGTTTTGTGAGGGAGATAAATCGCGGGATGTGCTCCAGCAGGCCAGGGAACAAGAGCTGTCTGTACAGTACGCCTACAAAGAGTCCAATTTCATGTCTCAGGAATCGAACCCCCACACTGCGGCTGCCAGAAAGGTATGAAATAACCACACTCATATCCTTTGCATTGTTGAGTTTGTATTGGGAGGTTAATTAGTTATTGTGAATTACCAACATCATTTTGGAGGTTCCATTTTTTCGAATTAATTCACATTTCTTATTTATGCTTTGCGATATTTCTGTTACGAACAACTTGGGTTCGTAAGGGGAAAAAAAAAGACTAGTTTATAAATGAATGCATTTATTTTGTAAAATATGTGTGCAACCCCTAATGATACACTAGATTAGGTAGGTCATCACAAAGGACAATGCCAAGTGATATGAACAAGGGTATGCGCCCCCCGAAGCATAGATTAGTGGTGCAAAGGACAAGAGTAATGTTATCTCATGCCTTGTTGGCAACCGCAGTGTGAAGGTTCGGTTCTTGAAACATGGAATTGGATTCCTTGTAGGCGTAGTGTACAGACAGCTCTTGTTCCCTGGCCTGATGGGCCACATCCCGCGATTTACCTCCCTCACAAAGCTTTAGGGGCGGGACGGTGGGGGTCCTCAAGGTTGGGGTTCAACCTTTTTTGATATGAACAAGGGTATGTGACTTGGCCTAAATGGAAGCGACCAATCCAATGGAACGAGTGCAAAAAGAATGGTCATGAGCCATCGCGTATTATGCAAATTTAGATTGGGTTTTGCAGTCACACTATCAAACGATTCAGATGTATTCATGCCAAAAGACTTCGCAATTTGGGAAAAAAAAAAAAAAATAGCCCCACTAAATCTCCTATTATTATGAACCTCCTCATTTGATCCCCGCGTTCTAAAACAAACTGGAAATAATTGATTTTTGAAACGTTGTCTCCCCTAAGTTATGCCCAAATAAGTTTAAGGTTTTCCAAGTAGTGAGAGTTTTATTTTTTTGAGCTTTCAAGTTCATCGTATTCTAGTTGAAAAATTACAATTAAAATTAAGTTCGTCCGACCTGTTTAAAATGAAGAATATATTGATAGATAGATATCTGTATATCTTGTTAAACACTAGTGCAGGGACAAAATATATTTTGATGAGATTTACAATCACATGCCTTGCTTTATTAATTCTTACATTTTTCTATTTTAGCCGTAGAGTCATTGTCTGGAAACATTTATCCGTGTTTTTGCTTCCAATCTCCCTTACAATACATTCATCGGTGCATTACTAATCCACGGTTTTATTTATTTATTTTTAAATCGTAAATAGATTAGAAGTTTAATTGATGAACTCTAAAATACTGTTGTATTGATTAACTACATTTGTAATTAAAGGAGTTACAGATAAACCTCGTATTTTTAGGGTAGCATTAGTGTTAATCTTGTGGCGGAAGTCAACTAGTTTTGAGATATATTGATATTCTATTGTATTCTTAATTTAGTGTGAGAGGTATTGGCGGAAAATGTCTTGCAAATTGCAATAATTCGAAATAAACACAAAAGATCATTCACAGTATATTTCAAATCGAGTGTTGACACATTTTTGGCTTTAGGACATTGCTTTATGTACATCAAAGTTTAAAGGAGAGATTACATAATGTTCACATAGCACTTTACCATTTGACAATTTAAAACACGGGAAGTGCTACATGTACATAATTGTCGATATAATGGTGTCCATAATTACATATGGCACTGGATCAACCTTTAATTCAAATCTCACACTTTCACATCAACAACCGGATGATTGCCACATCACATTATGGACAACATTATGTGCAATAATTATGTACATGTAGACTTTTTCTTAAAACACAATCAACTTTTTCATCCAATCTTTTTCTTCCACATCATTTTCGATAATCATTTATGTACCATATATATATATACACACACACACACACACTACAAAGATATCTCAAACATGTGTGGTCGTTGTAGATCCTTAAAAAT